GAGTTACGGGTAAGCGAAGCGACCCCTTCCAGCTTGGGGGGGGGGGGTCAGTGTGAGCCTGTTTAAGGTCTAATTAAATACATTCTGGCTATTTAGATTAAATTTAATAGGGAAAGTACATCAAGACAACCAAAACCATTTACCAACAGCCATTATAACTATCTTGTTAAATCATGCATTTTAAAGAGAATAAACTCAAGACAGCATAGTATTACTAGATTAGGCTATTAAAGTAGTGACATCATGTACCTGTTATATTCAGCATAACCACTACAGCACTATTATTCCCTTTATAAATCACTGACCATTATTGTTGTCATTGCATCATGCATAAGACTATCAAATCATATAAACTCAAGAAAGTAAAGAATTGTTTATATTCACAGGCACTTCTTAAACTTTTTTCTGGATTTCATATTGGCAAAATCATCAATTATATTCTGAAAATCAATATTTCTTGTTAGATCAGACTCAGTGGTCAACAAGGCTAGGTTACACAATTTGTTTTGGATCATTGTTGAACGGAGCTGGTTTTTCACTCTTTTCAAAACAGAAAATGAACGTTCTCCTGGAAGTGTTAGGTAAAGGCGATACACTATGTCAACATTAGGGAAGGTTTCTGAGATACCTGCATTTCTTAAATGTTTCAAAGCAGCTGAGGGCGCACATTTTTCAGGTGGAGCTTTAATCTGGTTCATATACCCAGAAAAATGAACTATTTCTTCAACAAATGTGTCCTGAACATCTGCTGAAAGGTGTTGTTGCAACTTTAATGCAGCTTCTCTCAATTCTGCATCTAGCATAGTAGTAATTTTGAACAGAAATCCAAACTTGTCATTGAGATTTTACTCTCCAAACACTTGAACTTTTTAGGTAGGGACCCCTTTGCACTTGCACCATGTGCGCAGTCTTGGATGAGCCCCTGAACCTTTTCGACCGCGGGGCCCTAGGCAAATGCCTAGTTTGCCTATGCGGTAATCCGGCCCTGGTCAGGGCCCAGCGTTCCCTGTCCTGCCTTACTCTTCCTGCACTTGTGATGACTCCCTCCCCTCTCCACTCTCCGGCACCCCCCTGGCTGGACCTGACACGATACATTCACCTGGATTGGCACTACAGGAACAGGGAACCCCCTCAGTTAGTTGCATTTCTATTTGAAGAGTTTCGCTCTGTTACATACAGCTCTTCATTCTCCGTCTACACGGATGGCTCGGCACGGTCTTCCCCCCTTCCACATCATCTGTGGCCTTCTTCGCTAATCTCTCCCTGTGTCAAACGTGGTGGTTGGACCCTGCTCATTCTGTTCTGGCAGGGGAGCTCTTCGCCATTCACCAGGCTCTGGCTTTTGTCCTAGATCACATTCCCCCACAACCATTGGTTCTCTTCTCAGATTCCCAATCTTCCCTGGCACTTTTGTGCTCTGCCCATCCGCGAACACTGCGCGTCCTCGTTCGTCGGACGCAATTTCTCCTCCTGCGCTTCTTGCGGAGCCCAGGTTGGAGCATCTCCCTTCAGTGGGTTCCCGCCCATGTTGGAATTTGGGGTAATGAAGTGGCAGATCGGGCGGCCTCCATTGCGCACACACTTCCTACTGTTACCCCTCTCGCCCTGGGCCACAGTGTTTTCACAAGGGCTGTTTGGAAGGGAATCCGTCATCAGTAGCAAGAGGGTCTTGCACATTCCCTCTCTTCTTCGGCGTTGGGCTCTGTCCAAACTTTTAATGGCCCCTGCCCTTGGGCTCGCCATCCCAACCGCTCGGTGGACGTTGCACTGACTCGCCTTCGAGTCGGGCACTCGCGACTGGCAGCTCATCTATATCGCCTTCGGATGACGGACTCTCCGTACTGCCCATGGTGTTCCTCACAGCCTGAGACGGTGGAACACTTCCTGCTGTGGTGCCCACGTTATCACTCTGCACGGACTACTCTCCGTGCAGCCTAGCGCACACTTGGGGTGCACACTTTCACTCTACCTGTTCTCCTCAACGGGGAGGGGTTTCGCCCTCTGGACCGTCAAGAGATATTGGCCTGTACCTGCTCCTTCCTGCTGGCTTCAGGGCTCTGGTGGCCTGGTGGCTAACGCTCTCGCTTCACACGGCGAGGGCCTGGGTTCGATTCCCAGCCAGAGTAGAAACATTGGACGTGTTTCTTTCCACCTGTTGTCTATGTTCCCCATCAGTAAAAATGGGTACCTGGGTGTTAGTCGACTGGTGTGGGTCGCATCCCGGGACACTGACCTTCAAGGACCTTCAAGGACCATAACATTGTATCAATCGCATCTGCTAGAAAAATGACAGGATGGATAATGAGAACCTTCAAAACTAGGGAGTCCAAGCCCATGATGACACTCTTCAGGTCACTTGTTCTATCTAGGCTGGAATATTGCTGCACACTAACAGCACCTTTCAAGGCAGGTGAAGTACGAATGGTATATAATACCGACAAGATGAGATTAAGACACATGTGCAACATCTGGGTATCTTTATTGTAGACGTTTCGCCATCCAGTGGCTTTATCAATACAAATTCTAGGACATAACTTGAAGACAGTAGAACTATGTACAGAAGATGAGGTAATCAGTCCCTCAACCTAGGAGTAGGTGCAAAGAGCACCATAGTCGTGGAGATTCTGAAGCAGAAGAAAGGAGCCTGGCGCTTATATAATAACGTCAGGTGTAGCAGACGAGGGCATATTCACTGGTAGGCGGGATTCCCCAGTGGAAGTAGGTCCTTCCCAAAGAGATGGGTTAGTTGTCGTAGTCGTGAAGGTTATGTACATGTCCTCAGAATTAAGATTCCATGATGTTGCAGTGTCTGACAAGTTGTGTACGAATGGTACATAATACCGACAAGATGAGATTAAGACACATGTGCAACATCTGGGTATCTTTATTGTAGACGTTTCGCCATCCAGTGGCTTTTTCAATACAAATTCTAGGACATAACTTTGAGACAGTATACCATTCGTACACAACTTGTCAGACACTGCAACATCATGGAATCTTAATTCTGAGGACATGTACATAACCTCCACGACTACGACAACTACTACTAGAACTAACCCATCTCTTTGGGAAGGACCTACTTCCACTGGGGAATCCCGCCTACCAGTGAATATGCCCTCGTCTGCTACACCTGACGTTACTATATAAGCGCCAGGCTCCTTTCTTCTGCTTCAGAATCTCCACGACTATGGTGCTCTTTGCACCTACTCCTAGGTTGAGGGACTGATTACCTCATCTTCTGTACATAGTTCTACTGTCTTCAAGTTATGTCCTAGAATTTGTATTGATAAAGCCACTGGATGGCGAAACGTCTACAATAAAGATACCCAGATGTTGCACATGTGTCTTAATCTCATCTTGTCGGTATTATGTACCATTCGTACACAACTTGTCAGACACTGCAACATCATGGAATCTTAATTCTGAGGACATGTACATAACCTTCACGACTACTAGAACTAACCCATCTCTTTGGGAAGGACCTACTTCCACTGGGGAATCCCGCCTACCAGTGAATATGCCCTCGTCTGCTACACCTGACGTTACTATATAAGCGCCAGGCTCCTTTCTTCTGCTTCAGAATCTCCACGGCTATGGTGCTCTTTGCACCTACTCCTAGGTTGAGGGACTGATTACCTCATCTTCTGTACATAGTTCTACTGTCTTCAAGTTATGTCCTAGAATTTGTATTGATAAAGCCACTGGATGGCGAAACGTCTACAATAAAGATACCCAGATGTTGCACATGTGTCTTAATCTCATCTTGTCGGTATTATGTACCATTCGTACACAACTTGTCAGACACTGCAACATCATGGAATCTTAATTCTGAGGACATGTACATAACCTTCACGACTATGACAACTAACCCATCTCTTTGGGAAGGACCTACTTCCACTGGGGATTCCCGCCTACCAGTGAATATGCCCTCGTCTGCTACACCTGACGTTACTATATAAGCGCCAGGCTCCTTTCTTCTGCTTCAGAATCTCCACGACTATGGTGCTCTTTGCACCTACTCCTAGGTTGAGGGACTGATTACCTCATCTTCTGTACATAGTTCTACTGTCTTCAAGTTATGTCCTAGAATTTGTATTGATAAAGCCACTGGATGGCGAAACGTCTACAATAAAGATACCCAGATGTTGCACATGTGTCTTAATCTCAAGGCAGGTGAAATTGCCGACCTAGAAAATGTACAGAGAACTTTCACGGCGCGCATAACGGAGATAAAACACCTCAATTATTGGGAGCGCTTGAGGTTCCTAAACCTGTATTCCCTGGAACGCAGGAGGGAGAGATACATGATTATATACACCTGGAAAATCCTAGAGGGACTAGTACCGAACTTGCACACGAAAATCACTCACTACGAAAGCAAAAGACTTGGCAGACGATGCACCATCCCCCCAATGAAAAGCAGGGGTGTCACTAGCACGTTAAGAGACCATACAATAAGTGTCAGGGGCCCGAGACTGTTCAACTGCCTCCCAGCACACATAAGGGGGATTACCAACAGACCCCTGGCAGTCTTCAAGCTGGCACTGGACAAGCACCTAAAGTCAGTTCCTGATCAGCCGGGCTGTGGCTCGTACGTTGGTTTGCGTGCAGCCAGCAGCAACAGCCTGGTTGATCAGGCTCTGATCCACCAGGAGGCCTGGTCACAGACCGGGCCGCGGGGGCGTTGACCCCCGGAACTCTCTCCAGGTAAACTCCAGGTAATTTGCCCGAAATGCAGAGCATAACAAGGGAGTTTCTATATAGTAGTATGTCATTGTTGTCAGCTAGTAATGTATACCTTGTACATGTACTTGTAGTAAATAAAGAATTATTATTATTATTATTATTATTATTATTATATTATTATCAGAGACATATGATACATAGTTATTAGTCAAGACATTCTTCCACTTTGGTTGATATTCCCTCTCCTAGCACTGGACGGCCGGGCTCGATACGGCGTATGCTGTTAGTGGCCCTGAAACCCAACAGAAGAAGTAGAAGAACCACCTTACTTACTTACGTAGATTTAACCAAGTTTAATTCGATCAGTCACCTTGATGTGTTGTCTTTGGAGGTCCAGGAATGTAATAAGTTTTTATTTAGATATGCCATGTTTAATGGCTCTCTCACTGGCACCTCTTACAAGCATCAGTTAGGTGTAACAACTGTAGTTTTTCCTTGTATTGTAACTGCTTTTCACATAGTTCAGTTACTTAGCATTTTTTAAATGCTAAAGTTTAAATAATAACATATTACAAAGATCCCAATGGAAATAAGTCGCCTTGACTTTTTTTGGTTATCCTGGGTAATTTACACATGCTACTATGTATGATAATTTATGTAACTATTTATGTGTACACCTTTGCAGTACCTACAGTTAGTGGCCAGGCTTCAAACACATTCTATTGTACATCAATAAATGAGTGGAATAGACTGCCTGTACATGTCAAAGCCTGTCATAGCAGGAGCCAGGTCAAGAAGACAGCCAAAAGGTACCTGATGAATATAGCTACGGCAAGGGAGGAGAGTGATTTCTTGTGTATCTAACATACATGTACTATAATTTGATCCAATCTTTAATATTAATATAAATAGCTGAATTTACCTTATCCCTAGTATATCTCCTTTTATTATAACTGCTTTTCACATAGTTAAATTAAATTACTTACCTGTTTTAACTTAAATAATAATTATCACATTGAACCCAACTTTTTTGGGTTATCCTAGGTAATCTATACACATGCTGCTATGTATGATAATTTATGTAACTGTATTTATGTGTACCTGTACCTGAATAAACTTGTACCTTTGATTCCAACTGGGAAAAAATGTTTGATTATTCACAGGATGTCTGTTAAGCCTCACAAAATTCCTTGTAAATCATATTGTAAATAGGTTGACTAAGTTCTTTCTCCAATGCACTATATATTTGTTATTTCATTTTGTATTTCATAATTCTTTTGGTTGATTATCATAAAGATGGCATACATCAATGCTTAAATTACAAAGTTTGATTGCTAGTGCACTCATACATTGAGGTCCATGGTTTGATCCCTGGTATGGGTGAAAACCATGGACATTAAGACACCGGTTGTCCATGTTCACCTATCAGTAAAATAGGTACCTGGGTGTTAGTCGACTGGTGTGGGTCGCATCCTGGGGAAAATATTGACCTAATTTGTCCAAAATGCTCTGCATAACAAGGGGGCTTTCTGTATAGGTATACATCTAGGCCTGTATACCTTGTACATGTACCTGTAGAAATAAAGATTATCAAGTAAGTTTATTCACATACAGGTGCACATAAATATAATTACATAAATTATATTACAAAGCAGCATGTGTAGATTACCTAGTATAACCCAAAAAAGTCAGTGATTCGTTACATAAGAACATAAGAAAGAAGGAACACTGCAACAGACCTACTGACCCTTGCGGAGCAGGTCCATGTCCCCCCCCCCCGGATTAGCCCAATGACCCCCCAGTCTGGTCACCTCCACTCAAGGATGGAGCACTGCACCAGACCCAGCAGCACAAGCTAGTCAGGTCCAACTCACACCCACCCACACCCACTCATGTATTTATCTAACCTATTTTTAAAATTACACAACGTTTTAGCCTGAATAACTGTACTCAGGAGTTTGTTCCACTCATCCACAACTCTATTACCAAACCAGTGCTTTCCTATACCCTTCCTGAATCTGAATTTTTCCAACTTGAAACCATTGCTGCAAGTCCTGTCTTGGCTGGAAATTTTCAGTATGCTGTTTACATCCCCTTTATTTATTCCTGTTTTCCATTTATACACCTCGATCATATCCCCCCTAATTCTACGCCTTTCGAGAGAGTGCAGATTCAGGGCCCTCAGTCTATCCTCATAGGGAAGATTTCTGATACATGGGATCATCTTTGTCATCCTCCTCTACGTTTTCCAGAGCATTGATATCCATTCTGTGATACGGTGACCAGAACTGAGCAGCATAGTCTAAATGAGGCCTAACCAAGGATATATAGAGTTGAAGAACAACCTGAGGACTTCTATTATTTATACTTCTAGATATGAAGCCAAGAATTCTGTTAGCTTTATTGCAAACACTAATGCACTGTTGTCTTGGTTTTAGATTACTGCTAACCAGGACTCCTAAATCCTTTTTGCAATCAGTAGTATTAAGATCTACATTATTTAGTTTATATGTGGCATGGTTATTTAACTGTCCAACATTTAGAACTTTGCATTTGTCAATATTAAACTGCATCTGCCACTTCCCTGACCATTGCATCAGTCTATTCAAATCATCCTGGAGTGCTCTAGTGTCCTCATTAGAATGAATTGGACGGCCTATTTTGGTGTCATCAGCAAATTTGCTTATGTCGTTATTTATTCCCTCATCTATGTCATTTATGTAAATTGTGAACAACAACAGGCCCAACACTGGCCCCTGAGGAACACCGCTTGTGACGTGCCCCCATTCTGATTTCTCCCCATTTATGCAAACTCTCTGCTGTCTATTTGTTAGCCATGCCTCTACCCAGGAAAAAATTTCTCCTATTCCGTGTGCCTTAAGTTTCCTCAATAGCCTCTGGTGTGGAACTCTATCGAAAGCCTTACTGAAGTCCATATACACAATATCATATTCATTACCATGATCTACCTCCTCAAACACCTTAGTGAAAAAAGTTAGTAAATTCGTAAGACAGGAATGCCCCTTTGTAAAACCGTGTTGGGATTCATTAATCATTCTGCTCCTGTCAAGATGGCTACGAATTGCTTCAGCAATTATTGATTCCATAAATTTTCCCACTATGGAGGTAAGGCTTATAGGTCTTTAGTTCGAAGCCAAGGACCTGTCACCTGCCTTGTAAATAGGTATTACATTTGCCATTTTCCACTTATCAGGCACTTCCAGTTTGTAGTGATATGTTAAAAAGATTAGCCAAAGGTATGATAAGTTCCTCTTTACATTCCTTTAACACCCTTGCAAACAGCTCATCAGGGCCTGGGGATTTGTTAGGTTTTAGTTTCTCTATTTGTCTGAGGACCATGTCACTAGTTACCGCAATCGTACATAGTTTATCATCATCCGTTACCATTGGGGTCATTATAACATAAGTCAGTCTTTTTTTTTTTTTCTTTTTCTTGTGCTCTTGGCTTGGTTAGTAGCTTTCTCAGCTCTCGTACACTTGAGTGTCCAAGTGGAAATGCTGGATATGTTGCCTTTCATCTGCTGTCCTTCTTCACCTAGCAGTAAGTAGGTACCTGAGTGTGTGTCACCTGTTGTGGATCGCATCCTGGGGTCAAGGTTAACCTAACTTGGTCAGAATGCTCTGCATAACCGTGGTCTTTCTATATTGTGTACCAATAATGTCAACTATGTATCAGTTGTATCATGTACTTTGTAGACAACAAGATGTTGATCATCCTTTTCTTTTCTTTTTTGTGTTCTTATTATTGGTATTATTAGTAGCTTCAGGAATGAAATGATGCTTAACCCTTTGAGGGTTTTCGTCGTACTAGTACGTTTTACGCGTAGGGGTTTTTGACGTACTAGTACTCATAAATTCTAGCGGCCTCAAATCTAGTGGGAGAAAGCTGGTAGGCCTTCATATGAAAGAATGGGTCTATGTGGTCAGTGTGCACAGTCTAAAAAAAATCCTGCAGCACACAGTGCATAATGAGAAAAAAAAAACTTTGACCATTTTTTTTGAATAAATCAGCGACTTTGCAGTGTATTTTCGTATGGTATTTATTGTTGTATTCTAGTTTTCTTGGTCTCATTTTATAGAATGGAAGACATATTACAGAAATTGAGATGATTTGACTGGTTTTACAAAGAAAGGTGCCTTGAAATTGAGCTCAAAGTAGCAGAAATGTTCGATTTTTACCAAACTTCAAAAGTAAACAAATCGTGCCAAGCGTGCAATACACGTCAACTGGTGAGTCTAATATTCTTTCACAAGTGCACCAATAATATTTATACCATTTTTTACACTAATGCAGTAGTCTGCATAACAGTAAATCTTATATTTTTTGTGAAAATAAAAATTCAAAGTGGAAAGCAAAAGAATATAAGAGGGGACTTGAGACATGACTAATGACTAGAGGAAATGTCATTTTAGTGCCAGGAATGTCTTTCTTGTTTATTCTGGACCCTATTCCGAAATTGGCATCTTTTGAAATTTGTGTGAAATTGGCAAAATTGCTAAATTCTGACCACTGTACTGGATAGTTGAATTTCATAAATGAGTGGTTTCTTGCATCCATTCGATAGAAAAAATGGAGTTCTAGCGAAATATTCATGTTTTTTGTCGACTAGTACAGTGAAATTGGCCGAAAATGGGGCTCAAAGTGGGCAAAATCGCCGATGCGTAAACATCGCCGAGACCGCTAACTTTGCGAGAGCATAATTCCGTAAGTTTTCTATCAAATTTCAAACTTTTGGTGTCTTTATGATCGGGAAAAGATTCTCTATCTTTTCATAAGAGAAAATAATTTTTTTTTTTTTTTAAATTTGGCCGACCCTGAGAACGAGTTTCGGAGAGGGCCTGTCGACCCTCAAAGGGTTAAACCAGTCAATAAATAAGTCCTCTGTTTTCCATGCTGACTAGTTTGACCTTCAAATAATTGGCAAGGTGGTTTTTATCTGTACCTTTCAAAACCAGGGGAATCTTGGAGCAATAAGTAAGAATGGGCTTACACTAAAAAACTGCTTGAAGCATTACCACACAGCAGAAAATTGAATTGATCCTTTGCTGCCTTGAATCCTAGTGCTCTTTTTTTACTAGCCAATGGCATCTTCTTCCAGTTAAGTCTTGTCTCATCAGCATTATAAACACTTTGGCTCATACCATCCTCAGAAATAATTTCCTTCCTGACACCACAGCTGCAGGGAATTTCCCTGCAGCTGTGGTGTCAGCAGAATTACTTTCACCAGAATTTGAACTTTTGAAACTAGCCAGTACTAAACACTATAATAATATTTTAAGTCTTTTTTCTGTTTTTATAATGAAATTAAGTGGTGCACCTTTCTTGGTTTTCTGTTCAGTCCACTTGCTCAATAATTTTTCTGTCATATATATTTTTTGACCCATGTCATTCTCTTCAGGAGGTCACTACCTCAGTTACTCATTGCACAATCTCATGTCTTCACCTCATTCTTTTTCATTGCAACAATTGATACTTCATTTAGACTATAGGCTTGTGCTGACCTCGAATATACGTATGTACACCGCTTTAAAATTTATCTAATACAATAGTGCCTCAAGTTACGAACTTAATTCGTTCCAGAAGGCTGTTCCAGTGCCGATACCAAACGAATATGTTCCCATAAGGAATAATGTAAATTAGATTAGTCCGTTTCAGGCCCCCAAAAATACACTTACAAAGCACTTATAAAAATATACTTACATAATTGTTCGAGTTGGGAGTTGTTCGAAACTCAAGGTACCACTTTATCTTTTTTATTTTATGAAAACAGGACTTTCACTCTTGCAC